CAAGTCAAGGTACGAGGCCATGTGAACCGCATGTTGCTCCGCAGTGCAAGACCGCTTGGACCCCACACGGTAAGATACTGCACTGCAGGAGGGCAAGCTACGTGGCCCAAGCTATGTGGCGCAGTGTACGCGATGCAGGCTGGAGGCGCCCAGGAGGTTGCCACAGGCGGCAGCGTGGCAAAACTTCGCCAGACCCGCCCAGCGCACGACCACGAGGCGGTCACGAGTGGCGCGGCGACACCATGCCTGGCCCACCCAGCGCACGAGGCGTCGCGAGGCGGCCGCGGGCGGCCACGTGGCGAAACCTTGTCGAATCCACCCAGCGCGCGAGCCGGACCACGAGGCGGCCACGGGCGGCAACGTGGCGAAACCTCGCAGGATCCACCGAGCGCACGAGTCGAGGCGGACACGGGCGGCAACGTGGCGAAACCTCGCCAGACCCACCCCGTGCACGAGGCCGCCGCGAGGCGGCCGCGGCGGCAAGGTGGCGAAACCTCGCCAGACCCACGCGGCGCACGGAAACATTCCTTGTCCCGTTGAAGCGGGTCTTGTTCCGGTGTTTTGGGTTCTCTCCTGGTGCACTGTGTCAGAACCTATACACAAATCACAGTTTTGAGAAGTCCACGAGAGGCTCCCCGGAGGCTTCCTAAAGGCTCCTCTGAGGCCCCTTAAAGGTAGGCTCCTGAGAGGCTCTTTCGAGGCTCCTGAGAGGCGCCCGAGAGGCTCGTGAGAGGCTTATTGCAGATTCCTTGGAGGTTTTTTCCTAACTTTCCTGTGGTGTGGGGTCGTCGTTTTGAAGAGACGGTCCCCCGCGTTCCCTCCTGCCTTCCTTCCTCCTCCCCTGCGCCGCCCGCATGCGTCAGCCACACCCACTTCGGCACACCCCTCACACGCTCCGTGGCCCCATGGGGAGCTCCACCGAAGGCCCCAGTGCCACCGCCCGCATGCGTCAGCCACACCCACTTCGACAAACCCCTCACACGCTTCGTGGCCCCATAGGGAGCTCCACCGAAGGCCCCAGTGCCACCGACCGCATGCGTCAGCCACACCCACTTCGGCACACCCCTCACACGCTTCGTGGCTCCGTAGGGAGCTCCACCGAAGGCCCCAGTGCCACCGCCCGCATGCGTCAGCCACACCCACTTCGGCACACCCCTCACACGTTTCGTGGCCCCATAGGGAGCTCCACCGAAGGCCCCAGTGCCACCGCCCGCATGCGTCAGCCACACCCACTTCGGCACACCCCTCACGCTTTTCGTGGCCCAATAGGGAGCTCCACCGAAGGCCCCAGTGCCACCGCCCACATGCGTTCACCACACCCACTTCGGCACACCCCTCACACGCTTCGTGACCGAAGGCCCCAGTACCACCGCCCGCATGCGTCAGCCACACCCACTTCGGCACACCCCTCACACGCTTCGTGATCCCATAGGGAGCTCCACCGAAGGCCCCAGTGCCACCGACCGCATGCGTTAGCCACACCCACTTCGGCGCACCCCTCACACGCTTCGTGACCCCATAGGGAGCTCCACCGAAGGCCCCAGTGCCACCGCCCGCATGCGTCAGCCACACCCACTTCGGCACACCCCTCACACGCTTCGTGGCTCCGTAGGGAGCTCCACCGAAGGCCCCAGTGCCACCGCCCGCATGCGTCAGCCACACCCACTTCGGCACACCCCTCACATCTTTCGTGGCTTCTTGGGGAGCTCCACCGAAGGCCCCAGTGCCACCGCCCGCATGCGTCAGCCACACCCTCTTCGGCACACTCCTCACGCGCTTCGTGGCCCAATAGGGAGCTCCACCGAAGGCCCCAGTGCCACCGCCCACATGCGTTCACCACACCCACTTCGGCACACCCCTCACACGCTTCGTGACCGAAGGCCCCAGTGCCACCGACCGCATGCGTCAGCCACACCCACTTCGGCACACCCCTCACACGCTTCGTGGCCCCATAGGGAGCTCCACCGAAGGCCCCAGTGCCACCGCCCGCATGCGTCAGCCACACCCACTTTGGCACACCCCTCACATCTTTCGTGGCCCAATAGGGAGCCCACCGAAGGCCCCAGTGCCGGCCGAGCGCCCACGGGCAGTGACGAGCTCCTTGGCAGAGCGCCCCGAGAACAGCTGCCGATTAACATCCCCGACGGATCTGACGGCCCTTATCCGATCGACCCGAGGGGAATGAGCCAGATGACTTGGTGCAGGTCGGCATGATCCGGAGGAGGAGGGAGGAGGGAGGAGGGAGGAGGGAGGAGGGAGGAGGGAGGAGGACGCGAAGCCCGGCAAATCGAGCTACAACCATCCCCCGCTTGTCAGCGCGAGGAGTTGGGTGCATCCCTCGCCCCCCCCCCCTTCCTTTATCGGTAAGCTTGTCTTCCGCCATCCCCTTCAGAAGTAGGAGGGGTAAGGGGGTCCTCCTCATCCTCTTCTTCCTCTTCTTCCTTCTCCTTCTCATCCTCCACCTCCTTCCCCCTCCAACTTGTGGTGGTGGTGGTGGAAAACAGGCCCATCATTCATTATATCATGTGGCTGGATACATCTAGCGCGGCTGGCCTGCGCTGTAGCTGGATACGCATGTGGCCGGACGCGTTTCCAGCGCGGGGCCCTTCCATGGCAGAGCAGGGCAGCCCTCTGCATGTGCACCCGGCGCACGGCCCCCAGTTGATCCAGTCCAGCCAGGCATGCGTGCTCAAGCTTCTTCTTGGCGAGCGTGGAGAGAAGGGCGCGTCGCCTCTTGTTATACTGAAGCTATGTCTCTCAGATGGCGCGGACCTTATCTACAGATGCAGGGCCAGCGCCTTCGAAGAAGCAGCCTCCTGAAAAGCTTTCCCCCTCCACCATACCCTGAAATCGGGCACGTCCCTCAACAGGAGGAAGATTCCCAAATAGTCAAAAATGTATGGGGATGTTATATATACATATCTATATATATATATATATATGTGACTATTTTGGTGTATGTGTGAATATTGTAGTGGCCTCCGGCCAGTGCCGCCGATCCGCGGGGGCTCCGGATTCGGTGATATTCGCGGCTCTGTGGCCTCCTCCCTCGATTCTTCCAGTCCTCTTTTTTCTCCCTAGTTCTCGTTATCCTATGCCTCCCGCTGACCCTTGCGCTCTTGGGGTCGTCGGGGACGCTTTTTGGAGCTGACGTGCCCTGTTTGGGAGGGAGGGCGCTCTTGGAGTCGTCGGGGACGCTTTTTGGAGCTGACGTGCCTTGGGGGGGTGCCTGGAGCGGTCCGGGGGGGGGGGCCCGGGAAGGGTTCCGCAGGGAGGGTCCCTGGGCGGCAGCGGCTAGATTTGAGGGGGGTCCCTGGACCCTCCGAAAACATCATGGCGATGCGGAAATCCTTAAGAAAACGCCAGATGGGGGACTGCCCCCCCCCCTCCCCCCCTTCCCCAGACCGGGGAGAGTCCTGGGGGCGGTAGCGGCTAGATCTGAGGGGAATGCGCAAATAATCAAGAAAACGCCAGATGAGGGACCCCCCCCCTCCCCCCCTTCCCCGGCAGAGCCACCCCAGCGACCCCCCCAAGCAGAGCTGAAGCTCTTGCGTAGGCTCAGAGCTGAAGCTCTTGCTGAGGCTCCTTGTAGCTCACACGCCGGGTCGGCGGACTTTTCATTCTTCGCTCAGAATCCGCTTGTAGGGGGGCATGCCCGACCTAACCATACCCCCCTCCCGCGCCCCGCCGAAGGGCACTCCCCCCCCCTCCCAACACGCGCGCCCGGTGCCTCCCCAGCCCCCCCGACAGACGCGCCACGAGGCCGCCCGCCTCGACGCGCGAGGGCCCGCAGCTCGCCACGCCTTCCGACCGTCTGTTTCCTCGGAGCGCGTGCCCCGCCGCCGTACCCCGCCCCCCGTCCGGGCACACGTCTCGGGCGCCGCGGTACGTCAGAGCCCCGACTCATCAGGGGCAGCTCGTGCCAGGGCCAACTCGGGTTCGGTTTTTTCGGGAATGCGAGCCCGCGTTACCCCGGACCCGAGGCGCCCCGGGATACTTTGATTCGGGTCAGGGCTAAGTCGGGTTCGTTTTTCGGGAATCCAAGCCCGAGCTACCCCGGGCCCGAGGTACCCCGGATAGCTCGGGCGCCCTAGTACGCCATTCGTGGCCATTCTTCTGGCGGGGCTGGGGCAGAAGGGCGCATCCGTTCCAGAGCGGTCCGGGTCGGCGCGTCGCCCGATGCTTCCCCGGTAGCCGCCGGGTCTCAGGGAGTCTCGATTTATCCTCATCATCCGAGCTTGTCCTCGTCGTGGCTTCGCGTTTCATCCTGGCTCAGGCCATCGGCCACGCGCGCTGGGCGGCGCCGCCTGCGCGCCCTGCCGCGCGCCGCGCGCAGAGGCGGCGGCGCGCGCAGGGCACTGTGGCAAGGGCCCCCTTCTGGGCCTCCAAAGTGGGATCCAGCTTGGCGTCGAGAAGACCGCGTGGAGCCATTTTTGTGTCACGCTGGGACTGGGGGGGGGGTCTGCGAAGGGCTTAGGCGACCCGTCCTCCTCCTCCTCCTCCTCCTCCTCCTCCTCCTCCTTCTCCTCCTCTTCCTCCACCCCAGGTGACGTGTGCTCCTCCTCCTCCTCCTCCTCCTCCTCCTCCTCATCCTCCTCCTCTCCTCCTCCCCCTTCTCCTCCTCCTCCTCCTCCTCCTTCTCCTCCTTCTCCTCCTCGTCCTCGGAGTGGACCCCCTTTTTGGGACCCCTCGAAGTCCTGGTCAGAGCGCTCCGCGGGAGAGGTCTGGGGAGTAGCGGCAGCGGTATATCTTGGTTTTCCCAGTTCGGCATATCGCCGATGCATCGGCGATATGCGGCTCGATGTGGCTCCCGATGTGCTTCACGTCGGCGTCGCCGATGCATCGTCGGTGCAGCGCGATCCTCTGACCCCGCATGCTCGGACCCCCTTTGGGAGGCCCTTCTCCCCGGCGCCCCGATGTGGGCGGCCCCCGCAGCTCGCAGCGACCTCGGCAGCGGCGCGACGGGGAGGCGCGACCTCGGCGGCGGCCGCGGCGGGGAGGCGCGGCGCAGGCGCCCGCCAGTGCGGGGCCCTCCCGCCGAGGCGACTCCGGCCAGCAGCCCACCGCGGGGGGGGGACGCCCGCCTCGCGAGGAGGCATACTCTGCGGGAGCTCGCGAGGGGCCAAAAGTGTCGACCAGCGGAGGAGGCCACCGCGTGCCAAGTGCCGGGCTGGAGAGGGCCCTTGTGCGAGGTGGGGTCGGCGTGGAGGGCCCGGGCTCTCAGGTGATATGGCCCAGCTCTGCACGGGGAGGGTCGACTTCGGGGGGAGGCAAACCACGCAGCTTCGGCTTCCGGAGCTGTGCTGGCAGGGGGTGGGCCGTTTCTTCGCCACGCGGCAGCAGCGGTGGCCCCACGAGGGCGACCGCAGCGTCACAGCGCCGACACGGCTCGCGGTCTGCAGCGCTTCCGAGACAGCCTCCTCGGGCACTGGCGCGGCCTGGGCGCCGTCGGCCTCGGCGACAGCATCTCGCCGGCGCAGCTGCTTCCCATGCTCGAGGACGTCAAGGCGTGCGCTCAAGATCAGCAGTACTGGCAGGTCAACATCGAGGCAGTCGCTGCCCTCGAGGGCGACGGGGCGGGCGTGCAGCCCTGCGACCTGGCAGACGCCATACACTGTTGGCTGACCGAGATCGTCGAGGGCGCTCCGGAGGCCGCGCGGGCCGCCGACGCGCCGGGCGATGCCTGCGGCGCCCAGCCGCCCGAGGCCCCGTCGCTCACGGCGGCCCGCCAGGCGGCCCCGCCGCTCTCGCCGCCGGCGACGCCCGCGCTGGAGGCGCACAGCCGCAGCCACAGCCCGCACAGCCACAGCCCGCACAGCCACAGCCCGCCTGGCCGCGGCAAGCAGCGTTCTAGCTGCCTGGCAGCGCCCTCGCCCGGCGGCAGGCTCAGCACCTCGTCGGACTGCGCTGGCGGCAGCATCTCGAAAGAGCTGCACCGCTCGTACGAGCTCATCGAGGCCCTGCGCGGCCTCCTGGACATGCGGAGCTCCAGGGCGCGCCGGGCCCTGGAGGAGCTGCTGGGGCTACAGAGCTCTCTGGGGCGGCAGCTGCACGGCCAGGACTCCGAGATCAGCAGGCTCCGGGAGAGCAGCGAGGTGCTCCGGCAACAGCGGCAGGACCTCGAGGCGGAGCTGCTGCGGCAGGTGGAGGCCGCCGAGGGACACAGCGACGCGGCCGCGGAGGCGGACATGCAGAGGCGTCGCGCGGACGCCCTGGAGCGCGAGGTCCTGGACATCAAGGAGCACTACGAGCAGAGCTGCAAGGAGGTACAGCAGCTGCAGGCCCAGGTCTGCGAGGCAGAGCGCCTGCAGGCGGACGTCCAGCGGCGGGAGGCGACGTGGGGCCACCGCTGCGAGCAGCTCGAGCAGGAGACCGAGAGGACGGACGGTCACCGCCAGTGGATGCAGGCCGAGCTCTCGCGCCAGGGATCGCAGCTCGCTGGCGCGGAGGAGGTGGTGCGCCAGCTCCGCGCTGAGTGCGCCAGGCTGACGGCGTCCGTCAAGGCGGCGGCTCGCGCGGCGCGCAGCGCCGCCGCCCTGGCGGCCGAGGAGGGCGAGTCGGCCGCGGAGCTCCGCAGGCTGCTGGAAGCCGCTCCCTCCGCCGCGGCCGCGGTGACGGCCGCCCCCCCCGCGCAGGCGACCCTCGGCCCCGAGCCGCCCGCTGCCGTGCTCGCGCCAGCTCCCGCCGGCCTGGCGGGCGTGTGCGCCGGCGACCGCACGCAGCGGAAGGCCGTCCCAGAGCAGGCGAAGCTGCTCCACAAGCTCATCGAGGAGCTCGGCTCGCTGCGAGAGCAGCGCAACCGCCTGGCGGAGCCCGAGCCCCCTGGCGCCAGGGCCCCGCTGGCACTCTTCGGTGACGAGCAGCAGCTCGAGGAGGAGGAGGAGGAGGAGGAGGAGGAGGAGGAGGAGCAGGAGGAGCAGGAGGAGCACTCGCCCGGGCGCCGGCGGGCGGAGCGGCGGTGCGCCTTCCTGGGCGGACAGGTGCAGGCCCTGCTGAGGCACACGCAGCAGGTGGAGCAGCTGCTGGACAACCTGCGGGACGGCCAGCCAGGCTGCGGCCTGGCGCCGGAGGCGCACCGGCGCCTCTCTGTGGTCGACATGCACCGGCAGGCGACCGCCGAGTTCAACGAGCTGGACGCCAGCCTGCACACCATCGAGGTGCAGAAGGCGGACGTGGACAGGGAGCTGCAGAGGCTGCTGCGGCGGAGCGCGGAGCAGGCGGAGCAGCTCGCCGCCACGCAGGAGCACCGGGACGAGCTGCTGCGGGAGCTGGCGGGTCTACAGAAGGCCCAGCCGTCTCTCGCCCTCTACGAGAGCGGCGGGGCGCGGCCACGGGGCTGCGCCACCTCGAGCACGAGGTCCGACGAGGGCGGCCTTCACGGAGGTGACGCGCGGAGCTCGCACGCGGGGGCTGACGCGCGCAGTGCGGCCCACAGTGCCGCCGACGACGGCGGCTTCATGTTCGGCCTCGACACGCGCCGCCAGACCGTCATCACCAGGGAGCTGCTCGAGAAGCAGAGGCGGCGGGAGGCGAGGGAGAGGGAGAGGGCCCGCGCGAGAGCGCAGGAGTTCCTGCAGGACGACGGGGCCGCCGCCTCCAAGGCCCGCGACCACGACCGACACCGGCGGGACAGGGAGTTCCAGCGCGAGGCCGGGGCCGCTGCCCCGAAGGCTCGCGACCACGACCGCCAGAGGCGGGACGGGGGCGACAAGCCCCGCCGCGAGGCCCTCGGGCCGCAGAGGCCTCGCGCCGAGGACTCCTCGAGCTGGCAGCGCGAGCGGCACCGCTCCGAGCTCCGCGCGGCCGACGGCCCGGGCCTGGCCCACGCGCTGCGCCCCCGCGGCCCGCGGAGCGGCGAGCGGCCCGGCCAGGGCCAGCCCCCAGAGGGTCCCCAGCGGGAGGAGCGGCGCCGCGGCTGACGCCATGGGTCGGCCGGCCATGCGCGGAGGGCGCGCGCGCGCGCGCTGCTGCGGCGAGGCCCCCCTCGCACGGCTTTTCCACCTCCAGTCAGGTAGTGGCGAAGCGTCCTGGCTCGCCCATGGGCCCGCCAGAGAGTGTTCTGAGAACCGCTTCTGGTCTGCACGAGACGTTCTGAGAACGTTTCTGGCTGGGTCCGTCTTGTTTTAGCACATCGGGCTTCTGTTCCAAGAAAGCTGTTTTTGTTCTTAGAACATTTTTGGAGTCTAGAGGAACACTTCGTGGTAGGACTATGGGAATGCCGGGACGGTCGGCCCCTGCTCAACCCACGGCTTTTCCACCTCCAGGGCGGCCTCGTCTCACAGGCCCCTCCGCTCGCTTGAGGGAGCGAGCCGCTGTGTCTTTTTTGTTGCCCGCCGGCGGCTCGGCTCCGCCGAGCGAGCCGCCGCGCTGCTTCGGCTGGAGCAGTGGCGAGGCGTCCTGGCGTGCCTATTGGGCCTACCAAAGAATGTCCTAAGAATCTTTTTGTGGTTTCCACGAAATGTTCTTAGAACATTTCTGGCTGGGGCCGTCTTGTTCTAACACCTCGGGTCTATGTTCTCAGAACATCGTGTTTGTTCTTAGAACACGTTTGGGTTCTAAGAACATGTCGTGGTAGGCCTAAAGGAATGCCGGGACGGTCAGGTAGGCCTTGAGGAATGCCGGGACGGTCAGTCCGTGCTCAAGTGCGGCGGCGGCCGTGCCGGCGCGACGCGTGCGGCCAGCTATCGGTCCTCGGCAACAAAAATGTCATGGCCACGAAGCGCCCCCCCGTGCCCCGCCCACAGGGGGCCCTGGAGGCGACAGGGCTTTGTTGGCGGTTCCGGCAGGGTTTGTTGCCTGCCTTTCTTTTAAGCATGTGTCTGGGACGTGCTCCCGGAAAAGGTAAACACACATTGCACCGGGACTGGCGCCAGAGCTGGCATCGGAACAACAACAACAACAACAACAACAACAACAACAACAACAACAACAACAGCAGCAACAACAACAACAACAGCAACAGCAACAGCAACAGCAACAGCATCAACAACTAACAACAACAACAACAACAACAACAACAACAACAACAACAACAACAACAACAACAACAACAACAACAACAACAACAATAACAACAACAACAACAACAACAACAACCACAACAACAACAACAACAGCAGCAGCAGCAACAACAACAACTTCAGCAACAATAATAAGAGCAGCAACAACAACAACAACAACAACGGCGGTGGCGGAACCCAGGAAAAAAAAACGCGCCAGAGCGAGCATACAAAGGTAGTTGCGAAACGGACAAACAAACAAAAAACACACCATGTGGTTTCCATGACCCAATGCAGTCAGCCCGCATGGTGAGGTCGAGCGACTTTCCAGGCGACCCTTCGGCCCATCCTTGGCCGCTTTCGCCGGCCTCTCTCCGCTCGCAAAGGCCCTCGCATCCTTCTCGCGCGCCCTTACTACGTATACGGGTTAACTGTAGAGGCCTCGCTCCTCGTGGCTGCACTCGAGATCTGCAGGCCCGACGGCGTGCGGTTGGCGGCGGCGCTGCCCCCGGCGCGCACCCTCCTGCTCCTCCATCTCCTCCTCTTCCTCCTCCTCCTGCTCCTCCTCCCTCTCCTCCTCCTTTTCCTCCTCCTCCTCCTCCTCCTCCTCCTCCTCCTCTCCTCCTCTTCTTCCTCCTCCTCCTCCTCCTCTCCTCCTCCTCCTCCTCCTCCTCCTCCTCCTCCTCCTCCTCCTCCCTCCTCCCTCCTCCTCCTCTCCTACCTATGGCCGCACTCTGGCAGCGCGGGGCCCCACGTCGACTGTGGGCGGCCCGATCCCATCCCTGCCCAAGCGGCGTCGCGTCATTGGGGGGGGCGATGAGTGGGGGGGGGGGGGTGGGGGGGCAGCGAGGGCCGCAGAAGAGGGGCCCTCTGGGGCCCCTCGAGGGGCACTTCGGGGCCCAGACGAGGGCCTTTGAGGGCCCGAGAAGTGCACCTCGTCTCCCCCTCCCAGTTGTCGCCCCGATGTTCGGCGCCAGATCTGCCTTCTCAGGGGCTCCTGTGGGCGGGGTACATGGCTTGGCGGGCTGGGGGGGAGGGCGGAGGGCATGCGGTATACAGTCGGGGCGCTGAAGAAGGAACCCTTTTCGTTGAGGAGGGGCTCCGTGTTCCTTGATTGTTTTATAGTTTGCCTTAGGTTTTCCTTCGATTTCCCATGGGAAATCGAAGTTCAACTTCTGGGAAAAAAGGGGCCTCGTTCCTTATTTTGGGTTCCTTAAGTCTCGTTAAAGGCTTAACGACTTCTGCCGTCCTTCGACTCGCGCTGGAGCGGCCGCGAAGTGCTCGAACTTTCCCTGGAGATCTCTGGATTTACCTGGATTTACCCAGATTTATCTAGATTTACCTGGATTGACCTGGATTTACCTCGATTTATCTGCATTTACCTGGGTTTATCTGGCTCGACTCTCACAAGTCGAGTGGCGAAAAGTCGACAAGCCCTTAGGGAAAGTCAACGCCCCGACTGCACAGGCAGCAGCGGGAGCACGAGCAGCTGGAGTTCCAGCCACTTGCGCCGCTGTCCGGAGCCCCGAGAAGGCCATACTCAGCGGCGGTCCGATGCGGCCCGGTGCTCGCACGGCGCTGTTGCGAATCCTGGCGCGGCCGCTCCGGTTCGATTCCGACGCTCACCACCCACCAAACCACCCCAACCCAACCCGAAGGCCTCAATTTGCCCTCCATTTCCAGTGGGGGGGGGGGGTCGGGAAACGTCGAAAAAACACATGTGGAACCCTTACCCCCCCCAACCCGAAATTCGGGTCTTCGGGTTTGGTTGGGGTGGTCTGGTAGGTAGTCAGACGCCGTGCCGATGCTGCCCTATCCGGCGCATGTTCCAATCCGATCCGATCTCCCGTCTCGACGCTGACTCATCTTGCCCCTCTAGCCTTAGGTTGGGCATGTCCCCCATACAGGTGGACTGTGAACGAAAAATTTTGAAAATACGCAGAAAAGATTCCAACATATTCCCTCCGACCGCACTCCGGCAGAGAGGCTGGCGGATCTGGGGCCCGAGCCCACTCGTCGATGGCCGCGGCTCTCGGTTGACGGTCACAGGTCGGAGAAAAAACAGCCTCCAGAGGCCCGGAGCGACGGAGACGTGGCCGTCGCAATGTGTGTTAAGTTGGGCCTGTCCTTCTACAGGGGGAATATTCAAAAATAGTCAAAAAATAAGCTGGGGACGATTTTTTGATTTTGTTGTTTACTATTTTAGCGTATGTTCTGACATGTTTCAAATTAGTCGTCAAAAATCCGCCTGTAGGAGGACACGCCCGACCTAAGGCTAATCACCCGTCTTTCGAGTAGGGCATCGACTACATAATTGACTTACCCCAAATTGGTTTCCTCGTCGAATGTACCCATGCATGCGCCCAGTGTTCGTAGCTCTACGAACATGGTACGCACGTTACGTAGATTCTACAAGCAACTCAATTTTGGGGTACTCCAGATTTCGT